GGCGGGTCCCCGCGGGGGGTGTGGGGGGGCCTCCCCCCCGCCGGCTCCCAGGCCTGCCCGTTTTGGGAGCCCCGGCTGGAGTCGGAAGAGTCTATAGATGGGGTCTTCTTCAGCCCCGGCAGGCTGCTCCTGCAGCTCTTGCCCAGTTCATCATAGTCCACATTGGCACCATTGGCTATGGGGCTGGTGAGAATGGACCTCCTGGTGATCGGTCGCCTGGGCTCCTTCCCTGCTGCATCTTCATCTTCTTCCTCCTCCTCCTCCTCTTCCATGTTCACTGAGTCCGAGGAGCTCAGCTCCATATCTGCCATGATGGAGAAAGAGTGAGGGAAGAGCACAGCAGCCAGGCAATCGCTCTCATGAGGTGCTCAGTTTCTGGAGGAACCTCCTGGTCACCAGAGGCACTGGAGCAGCAGGTACGTAAAGGGAGAAGGTGAGAGGAAAGGATGGGGCAGGTGGCAGCAAGCTGAAACCCGTTCCCATTCCTGGTTTGTTTTGTGGGGATGCACAGGATGTGGGAAAACCTCCCAGAGGAGGAGACAACAAATCCCTAGACTGAATTTCACAGAATCCTAGAATGGTTTGGGTTGGAAAGGACCTTCAAAGATCATCCCATCCAACTCCTCTGGGCAGGAACATCTTTCACTAGACCAGGTTGTTTCAAGCCTCATCCAACCTGACTTTGGAGGACTTGGGATCTCCAGCCACCTGGTTCTACAAGTGACGTGGGACCTTCATCCTGCCTTCTTGATGGGAGAAAGAGGATGTGGACTCACTAGATGACCACAAGGACTCTGAGCCTTATTATGCAGGATGCAACAAAAGGGAAGGGGCTCTCCTGATCCTTTCCTCTCAGCTCCCTGCACCAGTTCCCACTCAGTGGCAGAGAAAGGGAGATGGAAGCACTGGAGGCCTCCAGGAGAGAGGAGAACAGAGACCACGTTTCCAAAACCAAGTGCTGAGGGAGCTGCCCAGAGGGCCACAGGAAAAGAACAAGAGCTGGGAGCTGTGTCTCTCTGCCAGGGCCCCATGGACAGAAATGAAAAGCCCCAAAAGGTTTGCTTCAAGGGCCTTGAGTGGAGGCTACCCAGCTCTCTCCCACTCTGAAGAAGGGTCTCTGAGAAAAACCATCTCTTGAACCACTGCTTAGGCCTCGGGACCTGCAAGGAGGCCAAACATGTCTTTTCCCTGCAGGAAGGCCCTGACCAGCACAAAAGCTTCACTGCTCCACAGCACAGCAGTGGTTGCTGCAGCTTCCCTCCACCTCTTCTGCTAAAGGCTTTGGGTGTACCAGCAAGGCCAGGAATGTGGGTGCTGGTTTTGCAGCTGCAAGGAACCTGGTTTGTTGCAGGGGGCAAAGGAGGAAGCAAAAAGCTGGCTAGTGTTGACTTGGCTCAAAGGAACAGAAACGAATCCCAGTCTGTAACACACTCCCAGCGCTCAGGAAGGAAAGACCCAAAGAAACACCTTGTGAAACTGAAGTGGATGGTCCCAAATTCTTCCCAGACAGCTCTCCCCTGCCCATGAGCCAGACAACACCTCAGCAGGAGGGTGCAGGGAAGTGCCAGGAGCCGAGTGAGGAAGGGGGGGGCTTACCCATACTGAGAGATTCCTTCTGGAAGTCCTTGGTGAGGTGGGAGCGGCTGGTGATGCAGTAGACGTAACGCTCCAGCACGTACCAACACATCTCGTAATAGAAGGGATAACGAAACTTATTTGGAACCTGGAAAAGAGGAGAGGGGAAAGGGATCAGCTCCCTCCACCACCAGGCTGCACACAGGTAGCTCTTATTATTGCCTCCAACCAGACCCATCCCCTCCCGAGGGACAGGAAACGCATGTCTGGGTTTAACAGCATCATTGGTGGCTCTGGCAGCCTGATGTCCTTCTCCCTGCAGCAGGATGTTCTCCCCAGGCAGAGCACAGACCAGCCCCCCTAACTCCTGAGCCATTAACATTTCCTTTTTCTTTTTTTGGATTGCAGCTCTTCCCCCCCACCTCACCCCAGACCTCCTCCCTCCTTGGCACAAGAGAAAGTGGCAGATGCCACAGCAGGTTTCATGGAAGGTTCAAGCCCTCTCCCCAAGCCCCAGCACAGCATCTGACAGGATCTCCATGGGCAGAGGGAAAGGGCTGGGCTGTTGAGAGGTGCTTCCAGCTCAGCTCTTTAGCAGAGGGCTCCTGGGGCTCTGTCACATCAGTGCTGGCAATTCACATGCTGGCAGATCATGTCCCTGAACCTGCTGCCTGTTCTCATAGAGTCACAGGGTTGGAAGGGACCTCTGAAGATGATCTAGTTTCACACCCTCCTGATGCTCCACTGTGCCCAGGGTGAAGAAGGCACACACTCCATTGCTCTACTCCTATCTCAGCTGCTCTGGGTGATGGTCTGACATCTGGGTGTTAGCCCACGGGTCCTGCCAGCTGCAGCACCCCAAACTGCTTTGGAGAGGTCTGTCTGTCACAGCCCAGGCACATCCTGAGGCTCCTCTGCAGGTGCTGAGCACTGCAGGACCCATTTCTGCACAAGGAACAAGCAAGAACACCCACCTGCCAGCACAATGCTTACTTGAGGCTTCACAGGAAGCCTTTAATTTCACTGGGTCCAACCATTAACCCAACTCTACCCAGTCCAGTGCTAAACCGTGTCCCTCAGCACAACATCTACACATAATTTAAACATTCCCAGGGATGGTGATTAAATCACTTCCCTGGGCAGCCTGTGCCAGTGAAGAAGTTTCTTCTAACACCCAATCTAAACCCCCCCAGCACAACCTGAGACCATTTCCTCTTGTCCTGCTAGCAGGGAGAAGAGACCAGCCCCACCCAGCTCCAACCTCCTTGCAGGCAGTTCCAGAGAGCAAGAAGGTCTTCCCTCAGCCTCTTTTTCTCCAGGCTGAACACCCCCAGTTCCACTCATCTTGGACCACATCAAGGTCCAAGATCCACCAAACAGCTGCAGGCAGCCAGCTAAGGGAAAAGGCAACACACTGGCTGCATTCCCATGGCCACCTTGCTGCCTTCCTCTCCTGGCAGCCAGGGGAGGTCCCCATCACACTCACAGGAGGGTTTCCAGGCCCTGGTGTCACCACCAGCCTTAGTGAACACTGCAGGCTGTCCCTCTGCCTGGGTTCCTGCCATCCCAGGAGGCCAGGGCCTACCAGCTCTCCCCAGATCCTCACCCGTGTGCGGTCTTCGATGCTGTAGATCCGGAGCTGCATAGGGATGTTGAAGCTGTGTAAGAAGTTGCCTCCAAAAACCAGCGTGTCCATGGGAGTGTACACAGCATGGATCCAACCTGGGAGAGAGAGCAGAGCTTGAAAGATCTATCTGAACCACTAGGTGAGGTCAAGGTCTCACAACTGACAGTCCCTACTCATTCAATCCCTTAGTGATCTCCTCTGATCTCTTCAGAGCAGGGTTGTTGAATCTGCACCACCTTCATGCTGTTGTGTCCAGCCTGATGGTTGAAGCCTGACCATGCATCCAGGTCAGCTGCACACACAGACTGGCTACAACAATGTCCACCCCTCCTGAAGTGTCACCATTGAACCACTCCATACTCAGCTCACTTGACCCATCTAAGAGCCAGAGGCAGACCTGTACTTGGGCACTTAGATTCACCTCTGGATCTGGCCTTGGATCCTCCCCATGGTGACACAAGTCTCCAACTCCTGTCTATACATTTTTGTCATCCTGGTGTCTCTGTAGAGTAGCTTTCTAGTCCGTGTTAGGCCTCAAGAACACCAGCAACAAGGAAAAATAAGTTTCCCCGAAGTCTGTTCAACAATTTTAAAACTCTCAAGGTAACTCCAGTCTCAGCTCTGTCATCTTCACAGCCAAGTAATCCATCCAAGCCCAACATTTTGGTAATTCCAGCAAGGGCTTCCCTAAGGCAAGGCCACTCAATTCAAAAGAAGTGTCAGTTGTAACAGGACTCAAATGAGTAACCTGTGCAATCCCTGGTGTTTTCAGTTCCTGGTCCTGCTGTAGGCTGGAACACAGCTCATCCCTGCACAGCTGTTGGAGGTGCAACAGCAGGTGACAGCAGCTTGGAACAGTCCTAAGGACACCATTTTTATCCAAGAGTTTTATTAACAGCCTTCAAAGGGCTCCTACAATCCTTCTCCTTGCAAGGATGCAGCCACATCACATCTCCCTCTCCCAGTCACTCCTGAGGGAGGAAGCTAAATCCTGCCTGCTCTGATCCTGCTGGTGGTCCCAGGAGTTTCAGGCTCTCACCACAACCCTGGGCCAAGGCCTGGATGTGCCTGCCCAACCCCCTGGTACCTGAGGGGATGACAAATGTGTAGCCCTGCTTGAGCTCGATGCGCTGGCACTCAGACACTCTATCCCCAAGGAAAATGTCTCCCTGCTTCCCTGAGAGAAGCCAGTTTTCATAGAGCTCCAGGTTCTGGGGCGTAGGAGGGATCAGCCAGAAGATCTACAAAAATAAAGACAACACGTGTAAGTCATTGCATAATTAATAAGATTAGCTCCTGCTTCTGACCCTGCCCTGCTCCCTCTCCCAGACATCTAAATCTCTTCCTTTCCCCACTCACAGAGGATGCAAATCCACAGGAATTCCCAGAAAAGTGCCCTGCACAGCTCATGTGAGGGTACAAGCTGCTGAGCAAGGGCTTTCCTGCTGGGATGCACTGAGCACCATGGGCAGACTGAGCTTGGGATACTTTTTAAGGTGGTATTTCCATCAGCATCAAGAGATCCAGAGCCCACCAAAGAGACCAGAGCATGAGGGACAGAGGAGATATTTACCTGAGTATTTCTGCCAGATTAGAGCTATAAATGACCTAGAGATTGGCACCTGCCTACAGGGGACAAGCAGATCCCATCCCCACACAGGCTCTTCCAACAGCTGGTCCTTTGAGGGAAAGCTCTGGAAGTCTGGCAGCTGCATCTCCTTGGCAAGGGAAGGTGGGTGAAGAGCCCAGACTCTTCAGGTGGGACAGAGTCTGCTGCATTCCCTGACCCTTATCTAAGGCAGAGGAGGACTAGTTGCTCAGGATTTCTACTAGAGAAGTGACAAGAAGGGTTTTTTTTTTCCCCAAAGATTTGCCTTTATGGACTGTGGAGGGAGTCCAGACAGTTGTCTTCAGCTGAACAATTCCTTCCCAGCAGTTACAAGGAGAAGGGAGCATCTTCAGGGATGGACAAGAGGAAGGACTAAAAACCACTCTCCTGAAGCATCTGTGACCTTCCCTAACAGGAACTGTCCTCCTACCTTTCCCCCTCGGTGGATGTGGTACCACACAGAAGTTCCACCAAAGTCCACGTGGAAATCTGTATAGCAGCCCTTGACACTCATCAGACAGTACCTGGTGGGAAAGAAGATGGCAGGAAGGTGAAAATGAGTGGTGAGCCACATCTTAAGGCAGATAGAATATTTCCCAAAGGGCAAATGGGCTGCCCAAACCCAGGCCAAGGGCCAGAAGCCAGGGAGTGCAGTGCTAAGCACTGTAGCTGCAGGGAGGTGGTGGCCTGCAGGAGAGGTCACCCTGCATTTATGTCACATCCCCACAAAGAGATCTAGTCCAGGCAAGAGGAGAGATCCATCCTCTCACACCCAGCAGCTCTAGGAACCCCCAGGCCTGGCCTGGAGAGCAGGATGGGCAGTGTTTAGCAGATCACCTGGCTCCAGATGTCCCAAAGTGGTGAGCACCAAGAGTTTTCCTGAAGCACAGTGAGCTTCAAGAAGCCACAAGAGCCCCCTCTTCCTCACATTGTGTGGCAGGGGCCTAAATAACTACATCCAGTGTCCTTACAAGTGTCACCCTCTGAAATGAACAGGGAGACTGCTCCTCTTGCTTCCCCTGGGTACAAACTGCTTCTCCCTTGGGCACTTTTCTTGCCAGAGATGCTTTTTGCTGCCTGCTGTCACTGGAGCAGCTCAGGGAGTCACTTACTTTTGCACCTTTGGATACTGCATCTCCAGGATGGCATTTGTAGACTCTGTCTGACTCTCCTTCAGGTGTCTGGGCCACATGTTATCAACCCAGTCAATCAAATCCACCTGCAGGAGAAAGGTGGGAGACATGAGTAGAGGGGAAAAGGGCACAGTAAACACTTTTGCTTCATCCAGGCTGTCCTAAGAGCTCAAATACCTGTTGCCTTCCTGGTAAGCCCACAGGTCCATATGTGGCTGGGACCCTGTGGGGTGCAGGGTTGCACCAGGCCCACCAAATCCACACATGATGCTGCACACAGACTGCCAGGCAGCCCTGCTCAGAGCACACTCCCACCAAACAATGGGACTTCAGCAGGGAAGGACACCCTGGTGGCACCTGAATGACCAAATAACCCCCTCCCACCCAGCGACGTTCCCAATGCCACTGGTGCAATCCCACACGAAAGGAACTTTGGACCAGCTGTCCTGATGCCAGGTGCTGCTGTACAGTGAGAAACACAGTGAGATCCCACGCATGGTGCTGGGATATTTGTCTTCTGCTTAGGGGCTAGGAAGGAACTGTTTGGTACTGGGCTTCCATAAAAAACACACTGGGAAGCAACTGGTAGGGTAGGATTCAACTTGCTAAGCTTCAGGACAGCCAGAGATGTCCAGGCTCCCTCTGCAGTCAGCAGACTGAAGTGAATGGCCCTACAGAGCTGCCCCTTCCCCTCCACCGACTGCAGAGGGAGTTCAGGATGTCCATCCCACCCAGCCCACCTTTCACACTTCAGGGCAACTCGTTTCCCTCCTGCCCCCCCTTGCAGCACACTTCCAGTCTCAGCCTCCTCTGCCCTGAGGGATTTCACCACTTGGCATCAGAAGCCCTCCCTGCCATGCTGCACAACCTTCTGGAGAAGGGTTCTGCAGAAGGAGGAGCCAAGCTCACCGTAGCAGGTCTCTGCACCAGGTTCTCCAGCTTGGTGTGGCTGAACTCCAGGCTGATGACATTGTAAAGCTTCTCCCTCTCAGCCTCTGGTGTCTCATAGTAACGTGCCCACTGTGCCATGGACATCTCGATGTCCCTCTGGGTGTTCACATCCATGACATCCACCATCCTTCTGCTCCCTGCCACAACAGACAGAGCACTGGAACCATCCCTGTGCACAATGGACCACCCAGAAGAGACACTCCAGGAGACAAGGGACCCTTCCTCAGAGAACTGTTCCCCTTGGAACTGGCTGCCCAGAGAGGTGGTTGAGTCACCAGCCCGGGATGTGTTTAAAAGCTGTCTAGATGTAGTGCTTGGGGATATGGTTTAGGGGCGAGCATGGTAGAGCAGGGTTAAAGGTTGGACTTGATTACCTTACAGATCTTCTCCAACCTAAATGATTCTGTAATTCTATGATTCTATGAACCCATCCACCCACGTGTGAGGTCTTGGCCTCTCCCATAACTTCATCTTCTTCCATACCCACATTGAAACAGAAGCTCAAACTGCTCCTCAAGCACCTAAGAGTTGTGATCCACTGCCTACAGATGGCTCAGGTTCAACCAGCACGCTGGGGGAGCCACAAGGCCAGACCTCCAGCTTCGATCAACCCAGTGAACCCTCCACCCATCCCTCCCCATCTGCCCAGGGGGCAGCAGGGCTCCCTGTTTCCCCCAGGGCACTTACCCACACACAGCCGCACATCGTTGACGCTGAAGTCCGGATCTGGCATCCTGCAGAACAAACACCTTGCTGAAAACATCAGGAAGTGCTCCTACCTGCAGACCCTTCCCACCTGTAAGCCCAGTACTGACACCCTGAAGATACTATTCTGCTGGTTTGTTGCCTCTTGGGTGCGGGTGAGGACCATGCAAGCAGGTCTCTGGGGGCACAGGTCTGGGGTGGGAATGCTGAGCCCAACTTCTGGCTAGGGAAGCAGATTTGGGAATGGGAGGTATCATCTCTAGAACATGAGTTGCTGTGGAAAACCCTACCTCTTATTGTAAAGACTGCTCCTAAGAGTTGACCCCATCTAAAGGGCACAGCCAGAGCAGCACATTTCACTGACAGTCTAACCCCTCCAACTATTTGTGCTGGCACACTTCTCTGTACATGCATCATCCAAGCAGCTCTTGACCCAAAGAAACAACCAAAAGCTCAGGAAAGATCCAGTTCTGCCCACACTGTAACCCCCCCAATATCAAACCTGGGCCCTCCCAAGTCACCCAGCAGTGAAAACTGAACCTGGCAGAGTTTCCTTCCTCATTTTCTTCACTGTGCACTGGATGAGATGCTGCCCACCCCCTTCACAGCCAGTTGATCCTGCTGCTGGTCCTGGCTCTGACACAGTTTCCCAGGGCTAATTTATTCCTCTAAATTTCATATAAATCAAAAAAACAAAAAAACCCAAACCACTGAGCTAGTAGAAACCCCAGATCAGATCAGGTTCCTTTGTCTTAAAGTTGTAGAAGACAGCTGCAATGTTTTGAAGCATTATTTCTTGCCTTAAAACTACATCTGCCACCCCATGTGAACATGATAAAGCAGCCCAAAGTCTTGCATCAGTTTAACTTTACACTCAAAGCTCTAAATCTTAACTGATGGCACATGAGAAGTACCCATGTCAGGTTGGAATTCTGGGAACTGCCAGAAATACTACAAATTCCTTGACTCTCTGGCAATAGAGGCCTATATTGCTAGGAAAGAAACCCAGCCAGATGTTGCATCAGAGCAGCCACGGGGCTTTCCAGACTTTTGGTTGAATTGTGATAACCTACAGCCTCCCAGAACTCCCATTTTAAGTCCAAACAGATCAGGAAGAACAGGATAACTGAGGTGGAAGCCACTTTCCTCTGCTTACTGCATGTACAGAATAGTGTGGACAGGACACAGTCATGCCAACTTGGTAGGGCATGGATCCAGCTACTAGGATTTATCCCACACAGTGTGGAGAAAGGCAAGAAATGGGGCCAGAGTCATCCAGAACCCTGTGCCCCTGACACTTACTTTATCCCCAGGCCATCAGAGCTCCTGAAGATGAGAGGGTCCCTTAGGCCACCCCGCTGGATGTATTCAACTGTGAAGTCTGGTGTGGGGAAAAAAGAAAAGGGAAGGTGTTAAGGGAGAGTCCTCCAGAGGACTATAGACAAACAGAGGTTAGAAAGGATCTCTGGAGATCTCTAGTCCAACCCTGCTCCCAGCAAATTAATTTCAGACTCAGATCCAGACCCAGTTGAGACCAGAGAATCTCCTCACATCTCTGTGGCAAGGCTAGCCAGCAAATAAAACCTCACTTCTTGCTATTTCTTCACCCCTTTGGAGAGCCTGGAACTCCTTTGCAGCAGCTCTGTGAGCAGCATGGTGTGTGCTGCTGACAAGCTTCAGACAGGGCCCCTCCCAGGGAGGGAGGGGTTTGCTCCACCAGGCTGCACCAGACAGGGGAACAAGCACAGCCTTCGCTCCTCACTTCCTCTCATGAAGTTCACAGCCAAGCCAGAGAGGCCTTGAAGAAATGCTCCTCCCTCCTGGTAAATCCTCACCAGGCTTCCACTGGCTGTGTGATGAAAGGCCATCCCACTGGGCCATATGGGTGGTGAAAGAATGGAGAGAAATCCCACACAGCCTTTGAATTAAACATCTCCTAGACATGTGGCTGCAATTCCAGGTGCTGAGCCAGGCAAGCCCTCGTGTTCCTGGCTGCCATGTGTCCCAGCAAGCCTGCAGAGCTCACTGCTCTCCAGACTGAGGGGCTTCCATGCCCTTTCCCACACATACTCCCTGTTTTCAGCTCCCCCCAGCCGAAGGGTTGAGCCAATCTCCTACCAATGTACCCCAAATTGTCTTCAAAATGCTTGGGGACCATGGATGGGAGCAGGCAGAGATGTCCCCTGCCTGCTCTGCACCACTTGGGTTATGCAAGTGAGGTGGTTTACAGCAGAGGAGAGGGCAGGGCTGGTGGGAGCAATGGAGAGTTTTCCCAACTTAAGGATGCAAAACCAAAGGAAAATGCCAGAGAGTGGGAAAGGATTTAATGAACATCACAAATGACTGGTAACCACCCTTGGAGTTGGCAGTGGGGGAGGCTTTGGGTGTAGTCAGATGCAGGAGAGCACATCCAAGTGTGATGATCACTGCTCCCTCTCTAATAAAGGTCATCTCATACACCATGAAGGAGCAGCCAGGACCAACAGGTATCTGCTCCCTGCCAGCGCTCACACACTGCAGCCCCGACACAAACCTTTGCCTTCCATGAAGACCACGAAGGTGGAGTTGAACTTGTTGGTGGACAGCTTCTCCTCCAGGTCAAATGTCCTCTTCCCTTCAATTTCATCATCAGAGATGCCATCATCCTCGTAACGCCGCCTCATCGTGCCACGCTGGGGAGAGAAGGGACCAGGGGGGAAGAGTTGTGGGACCAGGGAGGGAAGACCATGAGGAACCACCTTCCCAGAGCCACAACTCAACCTGGCACAGCTCAGCCAAGGGCTCTGGGGAAGCCCTTGCCCTACAGCAGCTGGTCCCTGGGAAGCTTCTACTCCCAGAAAAATGAGACCCTCTATTACTGAGTTATCTACTAGATCTCTTGCTCAAAAAGCACTGTTGGGATCAGTCTTTTAAGAGAAACATGGCAGAGAAGATCTATTTAGCCAACACCTACCCTGGATTTGCTTCTCCTGCAACCAGATTTGTGCAGATTTGTGCAGGAGACAAGAGAATTCACTCCCAGTGAGCACTGACACAGGAGACAGTTCAGTGTAACTGGGGGCCAAGGAAAAAGAATCAGTTTGCCATGTTTAAAGGTTCATCAGGATTTTCCTATGCTGGAGGTAAAGGCATTTGTGAATTTAAATCACAAATTTGCTGCCAGAGCACCAAGTGATACAGGAAGGGGTTTAATGCTGAAAACAATTCACAGGTTTTCATCTCTGGCTACTCTTGTACACAAAAGTTGATTTATTCCCTTGTTTGTGGGGAAGTAACCCTTTCCTTAGAGGGTCTCATAAGTACATCTGTACTGGGACTCCTGACAGGCATTCTCTTCTAGCATTGCTGGATCTGGAAGAAATTACTGTTCCCAGCTGTTAGCCACCCTCTGGAGAGCAGCAGAGCCTCGGTGGGAATGCTCCCTAAATCCCCTCAGATAAAAACAACCTGGTCTGAATTAGCCAAGCAGATTTCCCTCAGTTAGGGATGCTCCCATTAGTGTCCACACCAATTGTTACGCCAGCCAGGGACAGGATGGGGCAGGAGGTGAGAGGAGCAGCTACTGTCACACCTTGGTGGCATCACAGCACTGGTGACAGGGTCACATCCCAGCCACAGATCATGATGCTGTGGTGCCAAAATTCCCTGTCACCACCTCCTGCCACAGCACACCTCCATGCCTGGAGTGGAGAGCATTTCCTAGCTCCTTTCCTCCTTCTTTCAGAGGTTCCTGGAGAAGCAAGGAGGGCCCTTTCCCAAGGGAAGACACCTACCTTGGTCTCCCCTCCTTGCAGCAGCAAATTTCATCTCCTCCCTGGAGTTCAGCA